AACAAACAACATCAGGGAATTGGGCCAGCCGAGGGGCCGAGCGAGAGAACAGCGGCGGGCGAGCCTGGGGCGACCAGTGCAGCCGACGGACAAGCGAAAACAAACAAAAACAAGCAAAACCAAGGTATTTGGCCAGCCGAGGGGCCGAGCGACCGCGGAGCGGCGGGCGAGCCTGAGGCGACCGGTGCAGCCGACGGACAAGCGAAAACAAACAGAAACAAAGAACGCCAGGGAGTGGGGCCAGCCGAGGGGCCGAGTGACCGAAAGGCGGCGGGCGAGCCTGGGGCGTCCAGTGCAGCCGACGGACAAGCGAAAACAAACAAAAACAAACAACATCAGGGAATTGGGCCAGCTGAGGGGCCGAGCGACCGAACGGCGGCGGGCGGGCCTGAGACGACCAGTGCAGCCGATGGACAAGCGAAAACAAACAGGAACAAAGAACGCCAAGGAATGGGGCCAGCCGAGGGGCCGAGCGACCGCGGGGCGGCGGGCGGGCCTGGGGCGACCAGTGCAGCCGACGGACAAGCGAAAACAAACAAAAACAAACAAAACCAAGGAATGGGGCCAGCCGAGGGGCCGAGCGACCGCGGGGCGGCGGGCGTGCGCAGGGCGACCAGTGCAGCCGACGGACAAGCGAAAACAAACAGAATCAAACAAAACCAGTGAATTCGGCCGGCCGAGGGGCCGAGCGACCGAACGGCTGCGGGCGGGCCTGGGGCGGCCAGTGCAGCCGACGGACAAGCGAAAACAAACAAAAACAAACAAAACCAATGCATTTGGCCAGCCGAGGGGCCGAGCGACCGAAAGGCCGCGGGCGGGCCTGGGGCGACCAGTGCAGCCGACGGACAAGCGAAAACAAACAGAAACAAACAATACCAACGCATTTGGCCAGCCGAAGGGCCGAGCGACCGAAAGGCTGCCACTGCGATCGACGGACAAACGAAAACAAGCCAGAACAACCGAAACCAGCCAAGGAATGGGGCCATCCGAGGAGCCAAGCGACCTAGCGCTACTGCGCGCCGCTGAGACAGGGCCCGGAAATTTGCAATCTACTTCTTGTAATTGTTGTTGCTGTTGTTTTTTTGGGCGGCCCCGAATGCAATCTACTTCTTCCGCCTTCCTACTTCATGTTTCTACCTACTTCTTCCGACCGGTGGGTACCTCTGGGCTTTTTTTTTTTTCTTTTGCTTTTTTTTTTTTTTTTTTTTTTTTTTTTTCTTTTTTTTCCCCTTTTCTTTTTTTTTTTTTTTTTCTTTTAATGCAATCTACTTCTTCCGCCTTCCTACTTCATGTTTCTACCTACTTCTTCCGACCGGTGGGTACTAGGGCTTATCTGGAAGTCACTAGAAGACAAGGGCGAGATCCCGAAGAGTGGAGCCCGAGCTATTCCTGCGCTGATGCAGGTGATTACAACACCGTCTCAGGCTCGCAGGTTGGTGAGATCCATGATAATTAAAGTGGATACGCTACCCGTTCTTGCTGGACCCACTTTCGGCATCTTAGTGGACAAGCTTGAAATGTCTGGCACGGCAGACGGTGATGACAATATTATCAACTGCTACGATTTCGACAAGAATAAACCGCCCGATTTGCGATGGTCACTCGTGGTAGGTTTAATTTGTACAAAAATCATGGGTCATCCCAGACGCGGTATTCGCAATGCTGCTGCAGAGACTCTTGCAGCCAAAATCAGTTACAAGAGCAGAGCAGGCATTGCGATTCTGGGATATGCTTTGAACAGTTCCCATCTCGTTCCAGAAGCTGTTTCAGAAGCTGCTGCCGGCAAGCCGCTCGCCGCAGCAGTGGAATCATCCGGCAGCGGCGCCTTTCCAATTCTGTCGCGGGTTCTAAGCAGAAGCGAGCCAGGCGTGCGGAGTAAGGCGGCAGGCAGGGCGCTTTTCTTGGCCATTCAGTCTATGAAGCTCGAGGACGCCCGTGTTTGGGTTGCGCCAGTGATGAACGACACCGACGAAGAGGTGCGAACATCAGCGGGGCCAGCGCACGCCTTGGTGGCTAAGGAATTAGCCGAGGCAGCCCAAACCAGAGCTGAGCAAGCCGAACAGGCAGCTGAAAAGGAGAACGAGCACGCCAGGGAGGAGAAGGTGATGGCCGAGCAACAGCGAGAAAAGGCGGAGAACGAGAAGGCAGTGGCGGTCGCGGAGAAGGCCTGCGCGACGGCGCTGACGAAGCAGGTGAGAATGGAGATGTCCTGCGCTGGCGTGGGCGACGGCTTCATGCTCCACGGCTCTCCCGCGCAGGCCTACCGCTGCAGGAACCGCGGGGCGCGCCGCCCTCCGGGCGTCGAGCACGAAGACCGCCAGTGGCTGGGGGCCAGGGTCGGCGGCGAGGCCGAGTGCCCGCTGGGCCGCAGTGCAACGCACCCGTCCTCGCCGATGTGCTGCCCAGGATACGATGCCGACAGCCCCGGCTGCAGCCGCTGCAGCAGCGGCCACGGCCGGTCGAGCACGGACCCCTTCGCCTGCGAGAGGTGCGGCGCCCCCGCGCTGCAGCTGGCGGCCTTCCTGCTGGTGCCCGCGGCACTGTTCGGGATGTCGGTCCGCGCGAACTCGCAGGCCCGGCGCTCTGGAGACACCTTCAACGACCTGCTGAAGATCCTCCAGTCGTTCGGCTCGGGGGCAGCGGATGTCCTGAGTGCCCTGGCGGCATGCGAGTCCCACGCGTCGGTTCCTGGCGGGCATGAACCAAGGGGAGGACCCAACGGAGTTTCTCTCGGGCAACTACCGTCATGAATGCGCCGCATGGGAGGCCTGGGTCCTGCTCCGGAAGATAGCGCTCACCGCCAACTGCACGCTGGCACCAATGTCTTATTCTCCAGGGCAGCACATCACGCAGGCATTGTTGGGCCTTTTGGTCTCCTTGGTTGCGCACTTTTATGTGCCACCGTACAGGAAGGAAAAAACATGCTCAGCATTGTAGAGGGTTCTTCGCTTACAGTGGTTACGTTGGCGGTGATATTCGACATGTACGTGTCAACGAATATCTGGAGTTCGACGCGATTTACGAAGATGTTGTCAATTGCGTTTGCGGGTGCACTACTCATCGTTTGGTTGTTCGTGCTCATCGGCTTGATGATCCATACCAAATGCACGGAGATGCGCCGTCGGGAGCAGGGCGATAGCGATCGGAGCGAGAGCGGTGAGACCGAGCAGACCGACCAGACCGTGATCGACCATGGCGAGATCAACAAGAGCAGCAGTGGACACTTGGCGAAAACACACAATCGCAAGTGGTGCTGGATCTGGTGAGGGCAGCCTGCAAGAGCACGCTGCAGGCGTCGAAGTTGGAGGAGCCAGGCTGGCTGCTGAGGGAGTCCGGTAGGGTTCCGCGCGGCGGCGGCGAGCCGCGCGGATTCTCATTATTGCAGCCTCCAGCACGGTGCCGAGAGGCGCCAGTGCTCGGAGGCTGGGCCGACCCTCCTCCATTCCTCCTCCATTCCTCCTCTTCCTCCTTCTCTTCCCCCTCTTCCAGACGCGTGGTGCACCTGCTGCCGCGCCGCTGGCCTGGCGGACGCGGGGAGCCCGCGCGCCCTGTCCTTGTGTACTGCACCGCCGCTGGGCCGCGCACCAGCGAACGATCGAGCTAGAGTTTGCCCCCCCCCCCCCCCAGATGTATTAGTTCAGATTTTTGTTTGAGGGTTCCTTGCTGCATACCCCTTGGCACGGATTCCTTGACGCATATTTTCTAATCAAGGATTTCTGAATTAAGATTGTTCGTTCAGGGTTCTTTCTGAAGGATTCTCGGGTACATAGTCTTTATTAAAGACTCCTTAGTATAGATTCCTTCTTTGGGATTATTTAGTAAGGACCCCTCACGAAGGATCCCTTCGTAAGGATTCATATGTAAGGTTACCGTAATAAAGATTATTTGGTAAGAATCTTTTGGCAAGCATTCCTGAGTGAGAATTCCGCGAACAGGATTCCTTACGCAGGATACTTCGACGACTCCTTATGCCATTTTCCTTACATGGGATTCCTTCTTAAGGATTCCTTGCTCAAGGTTCCTTTTTAGGGGTTCTTTAGTTAAACATTTGTTATTACGGATTCCTCATGAACGATTTCTTTTTCGGATTTTCCATTGAAGGGTTTGTTGTTAAGGATTCTCCGGTAAAGATTCTCAATACGGAGTCATTCGTAAATATGCCTTCGTAAGGCTTCCTTGGTACAGATTCCTTGTTAAAGGTTCCTTAGTTAAGATTCCTCTTGCAGGACTCCTTTGCGCGTATTCCTTATAAACGGCTTTCTTTATGAAGGATCCCTTATTTTGAAATTCTTATTAAGGATTCCGTATCAAGGATTCCTCCTCCTCGTCATCACTGTCATGGCCACTATCAGCATCGTCATCATCATCGTCGCCTTCGTCAGGATCGCACTCGTCTTACTTGGCTCCTTTTCCTCCTCCTTCATATTGTATAGTTATTCCTTCTCCCTCCCCCCCCTTCCTCCCCACCCTCCTCCTGAAGATAGAGAGAGAGAGAGAGAGAGACTGGGATCCAGCGCGAGAGAACAATAAGAAGCCTTGCTCTGCCCCGCCGCCCCGGGCCCGAGGTCGCACTTCCCCGCTGAGGGAGGATTATATGATGAGGAGGAGCGACGGAGAGCCGGGAACAGATGATGAGAGAGAACGGAAGAATACAAACGTGGAAAATATACCAGCGCGACCCTACCTAGGAGTTGGAGCATTTAGGACAGCACCATCTACATCTACACCGACAGCCACATTTACATCTACACCTACATCTACATCTACATCAACATCAACAGCGAGACCCACATGTACATCTACACCTACATCTACATCTACACCTACATCTACATCTACATCTACACCTACATCCACATCTACACGTACACCTACATCTACATCTACATCTACACATTCGCATTGGTTTTGTTTTTGTTTTGCATTGCCTTTGCTTTTGCTCTTGCCTTTGTTTGTGCATTTGCCTTTGTTTTTGCTTTGCAGCGCTAGGCGCTAAGGTAAGCTAAGCTATGCTAACCTAAGCTAATCTAGGCTAAGCTAAGCCAAGCTAAGCTAATCAAAGCTAAGATGAGATAAGCTAAGCTAAGCTAAACTTAGCTTAGCCTAGCTTAGCTTAGCTAAGCTGGGTGAGCCCAGGGGCGCAACTGGGGGAACCGCGGGGCGGATACTGGGGGAACCACCCGGGGCGCTTTCCACTGCCGGGCCCCTTTAAGCCCAGAGAGTAAGAACCCTTCTAGGCAGAGCCTAGGTAGGGAACATCGAAGCCAAGGCAAATGGTACGATCACTTGGGGGGGCGAATAATCCCAGCGCGACCCTACCTAGGAGTTGGAGCATTCAGGAAAGCAACATCTACATCCACACCGACAGCTACATTATCCCAGAGCGACCCTGCCTAGGAGTTGGAGCCCCGAGGAGAGCAATATTAGTAGTAACGGTAAACGCCGTCCTCCTCCTTCTCCTCAGTAGTAGTAGTAGTAGTAGTAGTAGTAGTAGTAGTAGTAGTAGTAGTAGTAGTAGTAGTAGTAGTCGTAGTAGTAGTAGTAGTTAGTAGTAGTAGTAGTAGTAAGTAGTAGTAGTAGTAGTAGTAGTAGTAGTTAGTAGTAGTTAGTAGTAAGTTAGGTAGTGGTAGTAGTATAGTAGTAGTAGTAGTAGTAGTAGTAGTAGTAGTAGTAGTAGTCGCAATTAGCAGGGGTAAGCCGGAAGAAGTAGTAGTAGTAACAGTAGTAGTAGTAGTAGTAGTAGTAGTAGTAGTAGTAGTAGTAGTAGTAGTAGTAGTAGTAGTAGTAGTAGTAGTAGTAGTACGACTTAATACCTACATCTACATCTGGACCTACATGCACATCTACACCTACAGCTACATCTACAGTGGCACATACATCTACACCTGCAGCTACAGCTACATCTACATCTACAAACTACATTCACATATACATCTACATCTACATCTACACCAACATCTACACCTGCATGTACATGTACATCTACACCTACATCCACATCTACACCTACATCTACATCTAAATATACATATACAATTTCGCATTGGTTTTGCTTTTGCTTTGCATTGCCTTTGCTGTTGCTCTTGCCTTGGTTGTTGCCTGTGCCGTTGCTTTTGCTTTTGTTGTTGCTGTTGCTTTTGATTTGCTTTTGGGTTTGATTTTGCTTTGCTTTGTGTTTGCGTTGCCTTCGCACAAACACATGCCATGTTGCGCTATGCTATGCTAGGCTATGCTATGCTGCGCTATGATATGCTATGCTGAGCTGTGATATGTTAAGCTATGATATGTCATTATATGCTATGATGCGCGAGATGATGTTATGCTATGATATGTTATGCTGCGCTGTGCTATGTTGCGCTATGATATGGCATGCTGCGCTATGCTATGCTATGCTATGCTGCGCTATGCTATGATATGCTGTGTTATGCTGCGCTATGATATGCTATGCTGCGCTGTGATATGATAAGCTATGATATGTCATGATATGCGATGCTGCGCGAGATGATGTTATGCTATGCTATGGTATGCTGCGCTGTGCTATGCTGCGCTATGACATGGTATGCTATGTTATGCTATACTATGCTATGCTAATGCTGCGCTACGCTAGGCTAGGCTAAGCTGAGCTAGGCTGGGCTTAGCTAAGCTAAGCTAGGCTAAGCTAGGCTAAGCTAAGCTACAGCTGAGCTACAGCTAAGCGAAGCTAAGTGAGGCCAAGCTAAGCTAAGTTGGAATAGGCTAAGCTAAGATGAGATAAGCGACGCTCAGCTAAGGGGGCGTAGCTGGGGGAACCGCGGGGCGGATACTGGGCGAATCGCCCGGGGCGCCTTCCACTGCCCGGCCCCTTTAAGCCCAGAGAGTATAAGAACCCTTTGAGGCAGAGCCTAGGTAGGGAATATACATCTACACCTGCATCTACATCAACATCAACCGCGAAACTCACATCTACATCTACATCTACACCTACATCTACACCTGCATCTACATCTACGTCTACACCTACATCCACATCTACACCTACACCTACATCTACATCTACATCTTCACTTTCGCATTGGTTTTGCTTTTGTTTCGCATTGCCTTTGCTTTTGCTCTTGCTCTTGCCTTTGCTTTTGCCTTTGCCTTTGCTTTTGCTTTGCTGCGCTAAGCTAAGGTAAGCTAAGCTATGCTAAGCTAAGCTGAGCTAAGCTAAGCTAGGCTAGGGTTGGCTAAGCTAAGCTAGGCCAAGCTAAGCTGAGCTAAGATGAGATAAGCTCAGCGAAGCCCAGCTAAGCTAAACTAGGCTAGGATCGGCAAAGCTAAGCTAAGCTAAGCTAAGATGAGATAAGCTAAGCTAAGCTAAGCTAAGTTTAGCCAAGCTGGGTGAACCCAGGGGGCGCAACTGGGGGAACCGCGGGGCGGATGCTGGGGGAACCGCCCGGGGCGCTTTCCATTGCCCGGCCCCTTCAAGCCCAGAGAGTAAGAACCTTTCTAGGCAGAGCCTAGGTAGGGAACCAATTGTGGACCACCCCTTTTCCCAGGCCTACTCCCCTCGTCCAAGGGCCAGAGACTTTCCCTAACCCCAACGCGCGAGCCCCGAGACGGCGTCGATCGGCCAATTGTGCGCACCCCTTCACACGGATCGTGCCTTCAAGGCTAGGGCAATTTTTTGAACCTTCAGATCGTTGAGCCGTTTTTACAACCATTTTTGAACTCTCCATACAAACTTGTGTTGATCCCCCACTCCCGCCTCCTCCTCATCCCTCCTCATCATTTTCGTCTTCCTCCTCCTCCTCCTCTTCCTCCTCCTCCCGTTCGAACGGTAGCACTGCTCTTGCCCTGCCCATTTTCATGCCCGTTTCCCTTGTGGCTGTGTGGCTCAAGGATGGCCGCCCATCGCGTTCTTTGTTGTCTCGTTTGAACCACGTTACCACAATTGTCCTCAAGCAAAACGTTCCGCTTTCATCGACCCTTTCAACCCGTAGGTGGTAGCAGACCTTCGGTCCCATTCCACGCCTCCGCCACGGCCCGCGCGGCGCACTCCCCTCGTCCAGTCCCGACGACCAGGACTTCCACATCCCCCCGTATTCGCGCGTCCAGTACGCCAACGCGCTGAACCGTTTTCGCGGTGATCCCCCCAGCCTTTGCGGCAGGGGCGCCGCATTTGTCTTACGACAACTTGCACGAGGACAACCTTATCGACCACTATAGAGACCGCGGCGCCCTGCCGCCCCCGCGTGCTCCTTACCCGGGGCGTGTTCAGATTGTGTACAGGCCGTTCCTGGATCCG